GGGGCCAAGGCTAGAGTCCTGTGGCTTCCCCCCCAGCTGTGTGGGGCCAGAGCCCCGCAGCAGGAGCCAGAGCCTGGCCTGCCCAGGGAGCCGGCAGCAGCTGGGCAAGCAGCCCAGCCATTTTGGGGGGAGGCAAAGGGTGAGGAAGAGTTGCCTGCTGAGGGAGCCTGTCAGCAGCAGGCGAGGCACTTGGGGTCTGGTGCCAGGAGACCTCGCCTGATCCTGCAAATTCTCTCATTCAGGACCAGTGAGGTCCCAACGCTGGTCTAACCTGTACTTCTTTCTTTCCCCTATGTCCTCTTCCTCCCACTCATTTCTTACCTCCTGCATTTTCCCCTTTAGACAACTTATTTTTCCAGCTCCATTCTGTTCTCTCTTCATTTCTACTCGCTTCTCTCTGCCCCTTCCTTCACATGTCTCCTGCTCATAGTGCCACCGGGGCTTGCTGCTCTTGTCTCTGCATACCTCCAGCTCCTACTGAGGCTTGTATGCCACACCTGTGTAATCAGCCGTCCTGCTTCTTTCCTACACCACTGAGTCAGTATTTCAAGAAAGTGACAATCCCAATAACTGGGGAGAGGGATAACACTGCAGGGCTATTAAGATGCATAGCAGAGCTTAGTGCATTTTAACAATCCCCACTGTTGTTCCATTTGTATAATTAATCTTTTACATCAATAGCATGTGAATGACGATAGTATTGTTGATTGGTTTCTGCTTTCATAGTAAATATTTTACGGCAGGCTACGTGACTGAGTGACTTCACTTTCACTTCTTAACTTCAGCAATATTTCTGCGATCTTTGAGTTCTTATTGCAACAATATTGCTGTTGTCGTGGTTGCTCTGTCAGGTGATGCCAGTCTTGAATTTCTATTTTTTTTAGCTCAGCATCTTTTCATGCTGGTAATTGATACATAACTCTACTTTTGCTCCTGCTTTCAAAGCCCTCTTTAACACCTACTTCTGCTGAGATGCTTATGAGAATTCAGCAGGCAATGGTTGAGCTGAATAGCAGTCAAGGAGAGCTGATATTATTTACAAAATGAAAAAACTTTAATGAATGACTGGGGACCATTACATTAGTCCCAGAGCTGTCCTAGTTAACTGTGATCTTATTCCTAAGAGCCTTCTTTTTCCCTTCACTTTATTGTTTATTTCACTTACTTGTTTTATATTGAACTATACACGCTTTGAAACACCCTGTAACTTCACGGAGGTATGTGTAGGATTGTCCATACCAGGCCTCAGATCCCGATTTGGGTGCTACCACAGTGGAAGTAAATGACAGGAGAGGATGATTTTGAAGTTTCTGGGCATAATCACCCATCTGACCTATCAGCTTGAAGGCAGTGTTTTCATTTTGTCAAAACAAATACAGCTTGAAAATGTGCTGGCAGGACAAAAAGAAGCAGGAGCCTGGATTCCCTGACATTTGTTCTGTAGATGCTTTCCTGATTGCACAATGCAAGGGCCCCAGGAAAAAAATCCCACTCCCTGAAAGGTTTTTCCACACTGCTATAACCAGCTGGAAGTCTAGAAGCTTGGCAGGGACGGGGGGGGGGGGGGGGGGGCGGG